CCCTTCCTGACAAAGCACAAGATTTAAAAAAAAGAAACAAAAATTAGTAACAACAAAATAAATAAAAACTAAAAAATAATTAAAAAAAAACAAAAAAAACAAAAAATGGTACTTATTCTAGTTCAAGATTCTGATTTTGGCCTCTATTAATCCTTTCTGACAAAGCACAAGAACTAAAGAAAAAAGAAACAAGAATTAGTAAAACAAAAAAAAAAAAAAAAAAAAAAAAAAAAAAAAAAAAAAAAAAAAAAAAAAAAAAAAAAAAAAAAAAAAGATAGAGAAATGGTACTTATCTTGGTTCAAAATTCTAATTCTGGCCTTTATTAATTCTTTCTAGCAAAGCACAAGACCTAAAAAAAAAGAACCAATAATTAGTAACAATAAAAAAAAACAAAAAAACAAAAAAAAAGTGAACTGGTACTTACCTTTGTACCAGTTCCAGGTTAGATCCCGATCTTGGCCTTTCTGATGAAGCATAAAACTACAAAAAAAAAAGAAAATTAAAAAAAAATTAAATTGGCTAATGAAGACAAAAAAGAAAATAAATTGTAAATAAAAAATTTGAAAAAAAATAGTAAATAAAAAAAATTTTAAAAAAATCAAAAGATTGAAATTAAAAAAAAAAATTGTTGTAATATAGATCATAGGTGCAAAATATTTTGAAATCTTTTGTATAACACAATAATATTAAAATATATTTCAAAATATTTTGCATTTAGCAAAAATTTCAAAATTTATTTTGCAATATTTCAAAATTATTGTGCTTTGCAAAAGCTTTTGAAATATTTTATATCTATAAATTTGCTAATGTTGGTATTGGTAGTCTCAAAGATACTACCAATCAGGCTGCCAGAACAAACTGAAGAAAAAGGATATTAGACTAACCTAATATACTGATAGACTGGTTATAGTCTTATACAGACTATCTGGATTGGGAGTTTGGTAAAAAGGCAGAAATATACTAAAGTATCAGAGTTATGCTGTGAAATAGATGCTAAAATCTAAGTAAACTCTACAAAGGCATAGCAGTTTAATAGTTAAGCCCTAATCACAAGTATTGGTTCTGTCATAATGATATTTAAGTCAGCTATAAAAATGAGTACAAAAGACTCTGAAGGGTTTACCTTAAGAATAAATTAGTCCTAAGATTGAGACAATGATCTGAGCATCTGGATATATTCTAGTAAGTTAATACAGATTACAGGTTCAGAGGGTTTAAATTAAAACACTTAAACGGAGATGTTAGGTACAACAATTGGTAAAGAATCTTCAAGCAAACTCCTTAAATAGGTAATATAAAAAAGTTATATATATAGTCAATTGAATGCTCTTTTGTAGTAGTTCATTGAACTACAATACCAATAAGTGATTAATAAAAGTCAAAAAACCAAAGAGATCATCTTAATACTAAGTAATTATATATATTTAGTAATTAACTATAAAGCAAAGTGAAACTTAAGTAATTTATTTAATCTATTTTTTAAAAAACTAAGTTATATGTATTTTGATAATTAATTTTTAATATTATATTGATAATAAATTTACTTATTGCAAATTTTATAGCTTTATTTGTAAAATATTTAATAAAAAATATATCTAAAGTTTTTAATCTTAACTGTACTATAAATTCAGATTATATTCAAAATAAGTAAAATTATATAAATAAATAAAATTGTTTTTTATATCTGATTAAATAGCTTTTTTAGTAAAATTAATATTTTTTTTATATAAATTTTTATTCTTATATAAAAAAAATTATATAAAAAAAAAAATAATTTTAATGTAATGATTAGGTTGTTATCTTTCAAGTAGCAGATCTAATATTCAAATTCAATCTATAATAAAATTTGAAAATTAATTTGTATTATGATAACTGTTTTCTGTTAATCGATTAGATTTATAAATCTGTAATCTTAAGTATACTAAGCTAGATTTTATTTATTATTAAAAGCTTGAGACATCTATACAAAGTATAATATTATATATATAGTTAACTATGTATATAACGGACACCTTTATACTGGATTCACGAGTTTAATGAACTAAATTCAATGTACCAAATTTTTAATAAATAATTTAAACGGTTATAACAGACTCAATAAGAAAAAGACATATTACATATAACAGAACCTTTTGCCAGCCTATTTACTAATTTTAATAAAATTTCTTACTTATATAATGACATATATGCTGATCGACCAATAAATGTGCAGATATTTACCACATGACTAACCAATACAAAATGGTGCTTTTACTCTTTTTTATAAAAAAAAAAAACTGTGCAGAATGGCACTTACATGTTTAATTTTTTTTTTTTTTAATGGCATTACAGTAATTTTTTTCATTATGATACATAAAACTTGGGAAAAACAATATTCAAATTTTTCTTTCTCAAGACAAGTTCCACATCCAGATTTAAAGTTCTAATTTAAAAGTCAATTTTTTTTTAATTCGAAAGTTAATTTTTTTATTAATTTAAGTTACTGTATTTTTCACTTAAATTTTTTTTTTTTTTATTTTTTTTCAATAAATTTTTTTTGTTTTTTTTGAAAATTTTTTTTTTTTAAAAAAATCTTCGCTCTTTTATTACATTAAAACTATGAGCTCAGAAATCTTAAAAGCGTCAGTATATTTGATATGATATGGACTATTAAAAGGATTCATTTTTATTGTAATCTTCCTGTACCTATATTTTAAATTATCATTCCCACTTCTACTACCTTTTCTCGCCCCTACTATCTTACCAAAAGACTTGCAAAAAGAACATCTAAATGTTCCAGTTTTGAGTAGAACTACTGACTCTAGAGTTCAACTCTAATGACTCGACTGGGCTTTTGGATTTTTTTTTTTTTCAAAGTTATCTTTGTTTATATCAATATTGATCAATGCTCATGTCTTGTTGCAGGTGTGTGCAGATTCTATGCAGGGGTGGATTTTTTTTTTATATATAAAAAAAAATTGGATCTATCAAAGTTTCATTTTTCCTATATTAAAATGTTAACTAAAGTACCTTCTGTTAAAAGAAAACACCCCACAGCTGAAGAAAAGAAATAAATTTGTGAAACAAAAACGAAAGTTTCCTTCTATTTTGAACTCTGAACTTGCTTTGGATTATGGTGTCAAGAAGACATGCATATCTGATATTCTCAAACAATCTGATAAGTGGTTAAACATTGATACAACAAATAAAATAAAAGCAAACCGTAAACGCGATCACCAGCCAAAGTGGCCTATGTTGGATAAGGTTATGCGTGTCTGGACTGAAAGTGCACTCACAGCAAATATGGATCTTACACAAGCAGCCCTTCTTACCAAGGCTAAAACTTTTGCAATAGCTCTAAATATTTCAGATTTTAAAGGCACTGGTTGGGTTAATGGATTTCAGAAATGGCTTGGTCTCCATTAGTATTATAGAAATGATGAGGCTGCTAGTTCCCCCCCAATTGAAACCTTAAATAAACACAGAGAACATCTTCAAGAATTTTGTGAAGGGTATACTCTTAAGAACATTTGAAATGCAGATGAAACGTCACTTTATTGGAAGATGTGTCTATCTAAAACCCTTGTGCAAGAACCTGTTTCAGGCTATAAAAAAGAAAAAGTATAAGCAACTGTAATGTTTGCAGTAAATGCAATTGGAACAGAAAAGCTCTCTCCTGTATTTATTCATACAGTTCAAAATC